CGGTTCTCTGGGGTTGGATGCTTGCTCCTGCCCTGCCCTCCTTCTCTCCAAACTCCAGTTAATCCAGCCATCTGTGTGCATCTATCTCCTGGGCAAGCAAGGGACTGGAGCCAGGCCTTCCTCTGGAGTTGGCTCTGTTTTCGCTTATTTTATTAATTTTTTCCCGTTCTGGGGGCAACACCCAGCAATGCGCAGGGGTCATTCCTGGCAGTGCTTGGGGACCATACCTGCTTTACTATCGCTCTGGCCCTGGTTTGCTCGTTTTTAAGCTCAAAGGGCAAATGGCAGGCAGCTGGGCTGACTAGTCTGAGAGCTGACTGGCGGAGTATCTTTTTCAAAGTGATGAAATGATTGGCAACATATTCATCGTTAATCTGTATAAACTTAAATGAAATGTTTGGATGAGAAGATAGGAAACCAATTTCAGCACAGTTTGCTTTGAATCTCTATTTTTAAGCACATAGAGTGAGTCACCAGATTTTAAATCCATTTACCAAACACCAAAAAGCTTTCCTTTCTATACTTGGAAGGATGATATTATGTTAAACACAGATGGCTATGCTCCCCAGAAAGCTCAACTAATAAATCCATAATCTAGATGCTATTCTTTCTTTTGTTCATTAGGCAATTCATTTTTAGAAAATTGGAAAAATTTACAGATAAGGAGCTAACACTTCTTTAGCAAAAAAAAATTTTTTAAAAACTAAACAAAAGCCTTATACTATAATCATTACGTTAAGAAACAAAATTACTCTGGTCAATCATTTCAGCCTGGAAGGAATGTGATAAAATAGCTGGAAGGTTAAAGTGGGTTTTTGGCATTATGTTAGGAAGGATTCTCACTAGGTAGTAATAGAGGCAATACGGGTTAGTAGTCACTCCTTTTTTCCCTTCTTGTGTGCCCTTTGTTGAATATCAAGTAAACAAAAACATTATAAATCACCTTTGTGGGACAATATGTACTAAATATATTCCCAATATGAACTAACTATATTCTTCCTAATCAATGAAGGTATCCTAACATACAATTGATGAACACATCAGCTAATTTGGCTTTCCCACTTACTAGCTCAACCTTGCATCCCCGAGGGGTCCTCTGTCTTTCTGAAGACCCCCAGAGAGTCACACACACTCCTGTAAGTCTCCATCCATGTCTGTTCATCCCCAGCTCCCTGCCTGTATTCAGCCTGACCTTCCAGAATAACAGCAGTTAACCTCTGCTGCTGCCTCTTAGGTTCCTCTCAGAGTTACCTTTCTCCTCCCAAGATTTCACTTGGGGTTACTGCCCCAAGGTGATGCAGCTGCACTGAGGGAGAAGCCACACTCCTAGAGGGAGGGCTAAGGCTCTTTCCACTTGTCCCGATGCCTGGGCTTTGTTGTCACTGTGCTCTTGGAAGACAGTGGACTCTGATGATGATGCCCAGTGCAGAGAGTGGACGGTGCCTCAAGGCTGAGTGGGGGCAAGGAATCCCTGAGTTCCTCCTGCCAGATCCTCCTTGCCTCCCCACCCCCACTCCCAGCAGACTGGATCAGTCCCAGCTTCAAGTTAATCGTTTTCTGTCTGGCACTGTTCTCCCTGAGGCCAAGATCCAGCACACTGGGTTCATGAATCACATGGATTCACTCTCTCCATGGAAGCTCTACCCTATCTTAAAATGTGCTTTTGAATGCTGACATCTAAAATGCTCAGGATTCATTCAATATTCCGCATAAGACCATTAAAGTCAATGGCTAGGAGAATGGGCTCAGCACAAACAGGAATTGATGCTTGTCATTAGTGACTGAGGGAGCTGGGTGGGGACAGCACATCCATATTGTTTAAGACCATCTGCCAGAGTCTCCCGAGCTACTCCTACTGTCTGCACTCTGCACAGCGCTGAGACCTGTGCTGCACCCGCCTCATGCCTCAGTTCCTCAGCCCTTCCCACACCTGAGTTCTCAGTTTCCTCTTCAAGCAGGATCTGGGCCTTGGACCTTGTAGCCAGTAGTGTGGCAATGGGGCAGGCAGGCATTAGATAGCGAAGGACACTCATGGCAATGAATTCTTGGCAAGTAATGCGAAATGAGTCAGAAAGAAGGGATAGACATAGAAAGATTGCATTCATCTGGGGAACATAAACTAACAAAATAGGAGACTAACATCCAAGAGTGGACAAGATTAGTACCAGCAGATTTGCTCCATGGCTTGGAGGTCAGTCACACACTCTAGAGGAAAAGGGAGCTCAGACAGAGAAAGGAGCAACAAATAAAGGGTATCGGGAGGATCCTCCCAGGATGGGAGAAGCACGCTGAAAGTAGACCATAGACCAAACATGATTGCCACTCAATGCCTCTTTTGCAAATCACAACACCCCAAAGGAGAGAGAGAACAAAAGGGAATTCCCTGCCACAGAGGCAGGGTGCGATGGGGGGATGGGGAGTGGGAGGGATACTGGGACCCGTGGTGGTGGAAAATGGGCACTGGTGGAGGAATGGGTGTTTGATCATTGTACAATTGAAACCCAAGCACAAAATTTGTAAATCTATAACTATACCTCATGGTGTTTCACTAACAACAAAAAATATGTAAATGATGGAGAATGGGCACTGGTGGAGAGATGGGTACTGGATCATTGTATAACTGAAACCCAAGCACAAAAATTTTTATGTTTACAACTGTACCTCATGGTGTTTCTCTAATAAAAATTAAAAAAAAAAAAGAAAAAGACTAACAGCCCCAAGGCTGCAAAAATCCACCTCGTGAACAGAGGAACTAAGGCCTGGTGAGACCTTTACCAGGGACCAGCAAAAACCCAGAGAAGGCTGGACCCCTTTTGAGAGAAGCTCCAGCCGAAACAAAGGCCAGAAAGGAATTTCAAAGAAGACCATCAACTCTTCCAGCTCTACCCTTTGGCAACCATCCTAGCAACAGACAGCTTACCTGTCTGTGGCAACAGTAGGAAGGAAGCCCCTGGGGAGTTGAGGGCAGCTTGGGAGAAACCCTACTAAAGTCAACCTGAACAAAGGAAGCGAGCTCGTGTGCTTCTCTGTCCATGTATCATAGTGGAGCATGTGTGGTGCCAAGCACATGTGTCACCCACATCTCCCCTCTTGATGAATATCCTTCCATACTTTCATATCTAATGCTGGGATGTGCACTTTGGCTACACTCCACTCTGGAGCAGCCTGTATTCTCTCAACTGTATTATTTTTTCTCTCTCTAACCTGGAGAAGCCCAGGTTCTCTCTGTCCCCCCACTGTCTCTTCTCTCCCCCTCCCTCCATCTTTCCCTCCCTCCTCCCTCAATTCTCTCCCTCTCTCCCTCCCTAGTCTCCAAAATGTCCAAATAAAATCTGTTATAATTTACTGCTTGTCTCCTCCCCAAATTCCTTTCTGTGAGGGAAAGGCTCCAAGAGGCCTGGGTGAGGTCTTGGGCTAACTTCCCTTTCCCACTAAACCAGTTTCACAGTCCTAGATTTTCCCAGCCTTTTGGGGTGGCAGAGGTGGCAAGAGAAAAATGGCAGATTTCCCTTGAGGCTACCAGCTGCCTCTCCCCTCCCCCGCTCAATAGGCCACCTGGGGACCCCACTGGCAAGAAGGACTGCAGGGGTCCTGTGCCTGAGCTGGAATTCTTCCTGCTAAAACCCTAAGTTATTCAAATGAACCCGGTTATAATTTGATTTATGCAGGGTTAGAATTAATAGAGGCAATTCAGAAGTTAGTCTTAAAGGTTTACAAATCACCAAGAACAAAAACAACCAGTGTTGGAGTGGATGGGGGAAAGGGAGCCTTTCATTACTGGTGGGAATGTCAACTAGTCCAGACTCTTTCGAAACAACATTAAAAACTAGGAATTGAGCTTGCATATGACCCAGCAATTCCATTTTTTAGCATCTACCCTAAAACATTCTATTCAGAAAAGACATTTGCACTCGAAGTTTATTGCAGCACTATTCACAGTAGCCAAAATCTGAAAACAACCCAAGACAGATGACTAGGAAAAGAAACTATGGTACATATACACAATGGACTATTACTCAGCTCTGTGAGAAGATGAAATCATGCAACTTGCTGCTCAGTGGATGGATCTGGAGAGTCTAGTGCTCAGTAAAGTCAATCAGGAGTGGAACAGAATGACTGCTCTCATATGTGGGAAATAAAAAATTACCAAAGGCAACAGAAACTAAGACAGATCTTCAGTAGGAGCATAGCAGGGAGATGGGGGAGGGACCCTGGGACAATGGTGTGGGAACTGGGCACTCTGGAGGGTGCAGTGCTGGAAGGTTTTATGTATCAAACTCTATCACAAAACTCTATCCTAAAACAGAACTCTATCATAAAACCGCAGTATCTAATATAAAATTCAAAATCAACAAAACAAAATTACAGTCCTAATAGAACAAATGAATTGGGTTTTATGATGACCTGGTTCTTACATCTTCAAATTGCTTGCAAATAAAATAATCCTGAGCAAAGAGTCCATATGAGGAACCAGGGTGCACTGTACCGAAGGCACCAAGACCAGTTCCAACAGGGGTACCAGCCTGCTGGCTGCCAAGCCAGTCATTAAAGGTAGGCACTACTGTGCTGCTAAAGCAGGAAATCTTGCTCTTCTGTGAATATGGGTAAGATACTTAATACTTGAGTGACTTCTTTTCCTTACCTGTAAACTGGGCATTATTACAAAATCTACTTGATGAGTTATTTTGAAGATGAAATGAGTTACTAACTGTGAAAGAGAGTCCTACACATAGTCAGCTCTAAATACACACTGGCTCTCGTTGAATTGTCACTAGCAGTTTGAGGCACCAGACGGCTGTGAATGGCTCCTGAATGACATGGTCTTCTAACTAAAGATGTCACTTTTTTGGATGAGCAGAGGATTCAGATCTCACTTGGACCATTTCTGTCCCAAGCATATGGTGGTGTTGCCTACCCTTAATCTAATACCTGCCTCCTTGGGCTCCCCACAGAGTTGGCCATTGTTTGCCCTGATGACTGCAGTGTCTTGGGCATGGTACCTTGCCTCCGTCGGCTGTTGAGCTTCCGAAAACAGGTCCCTTCCACGAGACGATTCAGGCGTTGTTGTTTGATTAGCTCCAAGATTTCGGGCTGAATTTTCTCCTTTAGTTCCCTAGGAAGGCATAAACACACATTAATCTCAAGCAAGTCTTGAGAACACTGCTTGGTTGAAAGGGCATCCCGGGTAGGGGAGGGAGCTGCATGTTTTCATAAACATTTTAATACCTCCCAGGTTGGTACTTTACAGAATCCTTTATTAAATATCAATGGACAAGGCTATCTGTAACAATAACACTATAGGTTGTCTGACATTTACAGAATTCCCACAAAAGCACCAAACAATCTGCAGATTTTTTTTAAACCAAAGTACACTGAAAAATGACTTCTCTTATTTTCTAAAACCACAGATAAAAATTTATATAAAAATTCATCCAGTTCTAGCAGGACAATAAATCTCCGATGACATCCCCTTACCCCCAGAAGTTAAATAGTTAGACTACATTTGCTATCAGACCAAACAGAAAAATTAGGTGACGGGCAATTACTATTTCACAGAAGACACTGTCACCTGGACAAACTACAGGATCAGATTTTGCTTTCAAGTCTATCACTTACAAATGTGAACAAAACATTGACCTAGATTCTAGCCCATAGAGATTGGGATAATGATGAGATAAATTAAAGATTATTTGCATCTTGTCTCAGGCTAATGTAATGTAATTTAATTTGAGGTCCTATGCTATAAAGATATCATGATAGGTTTCCAAATCCTCCTTCCTCCTTTTTCAAGAGAAGAGTTTTTCTTTGTTTTTGTTTTTCTTGCAAATTTTATGCCCTAGTGTAGTAAAGAAAGTATAAAAAAAGAATCAGAATGGGAGTTACATAGGGAAATCAAGAGCCCAGCCCCAAGTATCTTTGAAATAAATGACTAGAACAGATATCTAGAACTCAGAAGTTCAGTGTTTTCCAATCCAGATTTTGCTATGACCAGCGTTTCACGTGGCTCACCTAAGGCTCAGTTTCCTTACTGTAAAACAAGGAGGAGAATATTCCTGGAAGCCTGCTCTGACTCCAAAAGGAGAGAGTGTTAGCACAGTGCACTGGATGTACTGGGCAGGCATTGAGCATGGAACAATACTAGATACTGCTGTGTACCAGCTTTAGTAAGTAAGAATCCCTCTTCTCCTCAGGTGAAATACTCCATATGCCCATGTCACAGTGTAGGACTACCTTTGGCTTTGGATTGCAGGCAACCTGTCTTTACCTGGTAGGTGAGGAAGACACTGAGATTTGATAGCTCCGTTCTACAAAGTTGGGAATGTCCTTTGTAGCAACAGCTCATTTAATAGTTCCTGCCTTCTGTCCCCAGTCTTTGGGGATACCTACGCAGGTCAGTATTCCTTTTGTTGTTTTGTTTGAGGGGTGTAGCCTGCTGTACTCTTGACTCTGTGCTCAGAAATTACTCCAGGCAGGGTTTGGGGATGTGATATCAGGGATTGAACCCAGGTTGGCTGAATGCAAAGCAAGTGCCCTACCCACTGTACTACTTCTCTTCATCCCCTAGATTAGTATTCTTACCTTACAATTAGACAAACAGTCCACATAGGTGATGTGGAGAATAAAGACTTCTTTATTCTCAAAATCTCAAGACTTCTTTATGCTACCTATTTCATCTTATAAGACAAAATAAGTAAATATGGTACAGTAGGAACCTGGCTATCTCCCAGGTACTTCTGGTACTTCATTAATACATTTCGGACATTTGCATGGCTTCAAATATCCTTTCATTGAATACTGTTTGGAGTGAACATAAAGCAGAATATGGAGGCAGAGCCCTTAATGATACAGTTGGCTGCATTTGTAGAGCTTTTCCTTGCTGTTCTCCCAAGGTTCCATTTCAGGCACTCAGATCACAAAATGGACTTATTATCAGCATTCAGCTTTTGTTAAATGAACTCTGTAAATTGTGACTCTGATAAACCCTTCTCTGAAAGGAAAGAAGGTGAGGGGAATCAGATATGACAATAAATCACAGCTTCTGACTTCCAACTCAGGGCAATGCTCAGAGAGGAAGAGGCAGCACCAAGCAAGTAAGACATTGAGGGAGGAAGACTTTGGAAACAATGTCGGTTCTTAGGCTCAAGATTTAATCTTTCAATAAAGTGCTATTTGGTTGGATTTGAGTTATTAACATGGAGCTGAAGATACAGAGATGAGAGCCGAGAGAAGAAAATAATGGAGGGCATTATTGAGGATCGGGGTGCAACTCACATACATGCCACCAAGGACAGACTCACAGTCAGCAAATATGCTAAGCTGTGACTTGCCCTTTTTATTATGAACCCCAAAAGGCTCCCAAGCATGACTGCACAATATAGGAAATGGGACAGCTTTTCGTTTTCTAAGCATTTCCTCTTTATAACAGACTTAATAGCCATATATTTGCCTGGCATGTGGTCAACTGGGTTTTGATCCCTGGTATCCTATATGATTCCCTCAGCCTCACCAGGAGTGATCATTAGCTCGAAGACAGGAGTAAGCCCTGATCATTCTGGGTTTGATGCTAATCCCTCCCCCACCTCATTCCTTATATTAGGGAAACATATATAATCCCTACCCAATGTTCCTGAGGATGAGCTTAGATTCCTGGGGCAATAACACTGCAGAAATCACTGGGGCTTGACATTTTGCCCAAGGACCACGGAATCAAGTTCCTGGGTTCTCTGCCTTACTTTCATCATCATCTTACTAGTTATAACCAAATATCTTGCAATAAATCAAAGGAGAGAGGGGATATGAGAGAATGAAGAGCAAGTCAAAGTATGGCACCGTTTTTGGAAAAAAAGATGCAATTCCAGTCCAGTGAGGCTGTGGGACACATATGTACAGTTGCACCATTGTGGCTGATGGTGTCACCTGAACCTGGGCCTGATCTGGATGGACAACACATTTCTCATCCACATCAGCAGGAGAAAAACTTTCCCTGGAGAATCTAATAGTAGTTATTTAATTTTCTAAAGTCCATATGCTCTCTGTCATAATAACTCAATTGGTCACAGTAAAACAAAGACAGTCATCCATAGCAAGTAGGCACTGTGGATACTAGGCTGAGGGATAGTGTCAACTACATAGAAATGCATCAGCTTCTGTATCAACACTGAAAGGTCTCTGGACCAGAGCCATGGTACAGTAGGGAGGGTGTTTGCCTTGCATGTGGCCGACCCGGGTTTGATCCCCTGCATCCTATATGGTCCCCCAAGCACTGCCAGGATTAATTCTTGAGTGCAGAGCCAGTAGCGACCCTGAGCATTGCTGGTATAACCCAAAATAAAAATAAATAAATAATAAAGTGGTTAATTCATTTCACATCCAACCATGATCAGCTAGAGGCTTAGAATTTCATTTCCTGGCCAATATTTATTATTTAGAAAAAAAAAAACCAAAAACACCAAAAGGTCTCAGAGCTCAGATCTTGGCTTTTGTATATGATCCACATGCCGTAGTACACAGGGCTTATTCTTGGCTCTGGGCTCAGGGATGGCTCCTAGTGGGACTCAGGGGACCATTTCATGCAATGTTGGGGATCAAATCTGGGTCGATCACATGCAAGGCAAAATCCCTACCAGCTGTACTCTGCTTCAGCTCTTAAAAACTGTGGCCTTGTATGTAAATTTCATGACTTCATCTTTTCTAACAGCTACATAGAACTCCATTGTGTAGATGTACAGCTACATAGTACTCCATTGTGTAGATGTACCAAAGTTTCTTTAACCAGTCATCTGTTCTCGGGCACTCAGGTTTTTCCCAGATTCTGCCTATTGTAAAGAGTGCTGCAATGAACAAACAAGTGCAGATGTCACTTCGACTATACCAGGAGTGGTATTGTTGGTTCAAATGGGAGCTCAATTTCTAATTTTTTGAGAATCGTCCGTAGTGTTTTCCAAAAGGGCTGAACCAGTCGGCATTCCCACCAGCAGTGAAGGATGGTCCCTTTCTCTCCACATCCGCGCCAACACAGGTTGCTTTTGTTCTTTTGGATGTGGGCCAGTCTCTGTGGTGTGAAATGATATCTTACTGTTGTTTTGATCTGCATCTCCCTGATGATTAATGATGTAAAGTAACAAAATAGGAGACTAACACCCAAGAGTGGCCGAGATTAGTACCAGGAGGTTTGCTCCATGGCTTGGAGGCCAGCCACACATGCTAGGGGAAAAGGGAGCTCAGATAGAGAGGGGAACACCAAATAAAGGGTGTTGGGAGGATCTTCCCAGGATGGGAGAAGCATGCTTAAAGTAGACTATAGACCAAACATGATTGCCACTCAATGCCTCTTTCACAAACCACAACACGCAAAAGGAGAGAGAGAACAAAAGGGAATGCCCTGCCACAGAGGAAGGGGGGGATGGGGGAGTGGGGGGTGGGAGGGATACTGGGACCCGTGGTGATGGAAAATGGGCACTGGTGGAGGGATGGGTATTTGCTCATTGTATAACTGAAATCTAAGCACAAAATTTGTAAGTCCACAACTGTACCTCATGGTGAATCATGGTGTTTCACTAATAAAAATTAAAAAAAAAACCGTGGCCTTTAATATCAACTGTATGCAGACAACTCTATGGAGCCTCGAGACTCCTCAGACTTGGCAAGCCAGAAACTGAACTCCTCATCCTCTGTCCAAACCTGCTCTACTCTGTGCTTTAGTGCCCCAGATCCCACACCTCCATCTCACCCCTGACCCTTACCATTCTCTAACACCCACATCCAATCATTCAGGAAACACAACTGCTTCTTATTCCAGAGTCAACCTCATCTGGTATAGAGACTCTGACAACTTCTTATTATCTATGTGCTGGACATATAGATAATAATATCCCACCTGACTTCTCAGTGTCCAAGCTGGCTTCCTTGTAGTTCAGTATCTACACAGCAGACCAAGAGTTGATTCTGAAGTAAGGACTCATGCTGGGCCCTGCTCCAAGTCTCCCAGAGCTTCTCAACAAGTCCCTCTGACTTCTGACTCTTCCCTCCTTACAGGCCTCACCCTCCAGTCTTCTTGACTTTATTCTACTACAGTCACACTAGCTTCACTGTTGCTCATGGAGCACACATAAC